TGTGTTAATTCGTGGAATAGGACTGAATACTCTGTCTGTGCCTCTTCATAAGGTAAGGCTTCAGTCTGATTTGATTCAAGGTGAGGTTGTAATGGGAGTACGACCAGCTTTGCCAGTGGAGGGAGTCCATATAATTCTGGGGAATGGACTGGTAGGTGAACGAGTGTGGGCTGATACTTCAGTGTTTCCCATAGTGATCACTGATAAGAAAGTTGAATCTGAACTGAGTTCTTTGTGTCAGGATTCAGCGTGTGTCGTCACTCGTGCAATGAAATGTGCCAATAGGGATGTAGTATGTGGTCAAAAAGAGGTTAAATCTGATAAAGTCGGCATGAAGTTGTTTATGCCTGATTTGTCTGCTTCGTCTTTTCCTGTTTCTGCAGAGGAATTAGGGAAGGAACAGCGGAATGACTCCTCTTTGGATGAACTTTTCCGGAGTGCGGTGCTTCCAGTAGAGGAGTGTAACGTTTCCCGTGGATATTTTGTTCAAGATGGAGTGTTGTTGAGAAAATGGAGTCCTCACAAAAATTTTGTGGGAGATCCTGTTTTCCAAGTTGTTGTTCCTACTAAATTTCAACAAATGATGATCGAAGTTGCGCATGATCAGTCAGGTCACCAGGGGGTGCGTAAGACTTATGATCGCCTGTTGCGATATTTTTTTTGGCCGCGTTTAAAACGAGACATCTCTGCTTATATTAGGACATGTAAAACCTGCCAATTAACGAGTAAACCAAATCAGGTGTTGAAACCTGCTCCGCTGAAACCAATTCAGGCTACTGGTGAACCTTTCGAACATCTTATTGTTGATTGCGTAGGGCCACTTCCCCGTTCGAAGTCAGGTAGCAGTTATTTATTCACTGTGATGTGTTTGAACACGCGCTTTCCTGCGGCATATCCACTACGTACCATTACGTCCCGTTCTATTGTGAAAGCTTTGACCCAGTTTATATCTGTTTTTGGGATTCCAAAAATCATTCAAAGTGATCAAGGTTCGAATCTCACTTCGCATAATATGAAAAATATGAAGCAATTGTATGACCGTACGGTTGAACATCGAGTGTTTGAACCAGGCGATCAAGTTCTTGTCTTACGGCCGATTGTATCCTCTCCTTTTGAAGCCAAATTTGATGGCCCATTTGTTGTACAACGAAAATTGACTGATGAAAATTATGACGTCTCGATGCCATCGCGTAAAAAGTCAGTTAAACGGTGCCATGTAAATCTATTAAAACCCTATTATGAAAAAGAAACCAAACCTGTAGCAAATGTGATTTCTTTACATTCAGCACTTCCCGCCGTTTCTATCGGTGGGGGTAATGTTGAGAGTTTGGTGGGTGAGGAAGAGGAGACGCTCTCGCCCGATGATTGTGTCTTTCGTGGCCGTTTGAATAATTCCGAGTCATTGCACAATTTGGAGTTTACTCTCCGTCATTTATCGCCTGAAAAATGTCAAGAACTATGTAGCATATTGCGTAGTTTTCCTGAATTATTTGGAGATGTGCCATCGCGTACCGATTGGGTAGAACATGATATCGATGTTGGGGACGCAAAGCCTATTAAACAGCGTTTTTATCGTTTTGCGCCTGAGAAACGAGAACTGATGGAGAGGGAAATTAAGTATATGCAGGATCACGATATTGCAGTACCTTCTTTTTCTGATTGGGCTTCTCCGTGTATTTTAGTTGGAAAGTCAGACGGTACTGTAAGATTTTGTACGGATTTCCGTAAAGTTAACGCCTTAACAAAGCCGGACTGTTTTCCTTTGCCCCGAGTCGAGGATTGTGTGGACCAAGTTGGTTCAGCCAAGTTCGTCAGCAAATTTGACTTGCTGAAGGGCTATTGGCAAGTGCCTTTAACCAAGAGAGCACAAGAAATTTAATCTTTTGTCACCCCGTCAGGGTTACATTCTTACCGGGTCATGAGTTTTGGTCTACGAAATGCTCCGGCGACTTTTCAACGCCTCATGAATCGTGTAATCTGTGGTCTTGAGGGTTGTGCCGTCTATTTGGACGACTTAGTCGTTTTTAGTGACAGTTGGGAATCTCATTTAACACGGTTGCGTTCGGTGTTGAGACGTTTGTCTGATGCTCGACTTACCGTGAATTTGGCCAAATGCGAGTTTGCGAAAGCGACCATCACGTATCTTGGGAAGGTAGTGGGGAATGGAGAAGTGCGTCCGATACAGGCTAAAGTAGGTATGTGGACATTTAAAAAAATAGCGGCCGCCATTGTGTTCCAAATCTCTGTGCCGGATTTTCCCGAATCACTCTGAGCGGGTCTCCAAAAAAAATGCGCTGTTTTCATTGACTTGCTGTGGGAATCCTTGATTATTTTTAGCCAATCACATCGTAAGCGTTTTCGACTGCACATTTGTTTTAAATTTTTTCTAGTCAGGCTGCATTTTCCTCCTGAAAGACGATTTCAAACAATACGGAAGAATTCAACTGTCAAGAAATTATTTTTACCCACTTTGGACACTTTCCAGAGGAAGGTAGACATGAAGAACATATGTTTGTGGTGTGCTGTACAAAATTTCGTGGCCATTTAAACTCCCCCTCTTTTTTTTTGACTACTGCCACTGAACGTTACCTGCAGAAAAGCTGTCAAAATGCAGCGCGTCGTGTAGGCTACACTCAACATTTGTGTGGTCTCCTCCACTTTCTTTCCTCCACCAGCATTAGTATTGTTAACTCTATATTCTTACACAACTGGAAATAGCATGAATCAACCAAAATCCATCTTTTAAATTAAGGATATATAATTTTCCTTGAATTGTTGTTTTCCATTCAATTATTTGTATTTTCAACAACTGCTCATCAGAAAAATACTATAAAAGATAGGCCAAATCAGTCTTTACGTGTGTTAAAATCAAGTATTGATCCAAATAACTACATGAAACCCACGTTAGATCCAAATAACTATATGAAACCCATCTCCACAGAAAATTTCATTAAGATATCTTGAATATTGAGAAAGTTATGAGCATTTTTGTGAAAAAACAACTTGTTTTCGGTCACACTAAATTCTATTGTTTTCGCCTTAGAAATGAGACAAAAATAGGCACTGATTACTGAACTATAAAATGTTGTAACTTTCTTCATACTTGACATATTTACCTTTTTTTTTTTTTTTTGTAAAGGGGGTACCCCGGTCTTTCCACATATGCTATCCATTTGTCTATTTGTTGAGTTTTAATTTTTTGTCCACATACCTAGCTAAAGTGCAAGCCATCCAGAATTTTCCTTCCCCAACGACCAAGAAAGAGCTTATGAGGTTTTTAGGGTTGGTAGGATATTATCGATCTTTCTGTTGCAATTTCTCTACTGTGGTAGCACCACTGACAGACTTGTTAAAGGGTAAGACAAAGTTTTTATGGTCTAACAGTTGCGAATTAGCTTTTGAGAACGTAAAATCCCTGCTGTGTTCAGCGCCCGTGCTTATGGCTCCGTGCTTTGATAAACCCTTCACGTTGCACGTTGATGCCAGTAATGTTGGGGCTGGAGCTGTTCTTCAGCAGTCGAATGTGGACGGAGTAGACCATCCAGTTAGTTTCTTTTCGAGAAAGTTTAACTCATACCAACGTAACTATTCTGTGGTCGAAAAGGAAGCGTTAGCCCTGATTTGGGCCTTGCAGCATTTTGCGGTTTACCTTAACGCCTGTGCACCTATTGTGATATACACCGATCATAATCCATTAATCTTTCTCAATTCTTTGCAGTGTCCTAACCAGAGGTTGGTTCGCTGGTCCTTGTTTTTGCAATCCTTCTGTCTGGATATTCGACACATACGAGGGTTGGAAAATGTGGTAGCTGATGCGCTGTCACGCGCTCCTGATGCATTTTAATCTATTGGATTCAAATGTATCATTCCCTTTGGCGTTATTAGGAGCTGTCTTTGGTCCTGAACTTGAGTAATATATTATGCCTATTTATTGAGATTTGTTTGTTCTGTTACAGGGATCTTTGTGGGAGTCCCTGTCTTTATGGGGAGGGGTGTGACGACCCCTGCTGTTGGTCTTGAGTGTTGCTGTTGGTATCTGAGCCCGCTAATTGCATCAAATGGCCTAATTGCCTCAATGGAAACACCTGTGACCTTAGACGCTGAAAAGATCACCATCTGAGCCAAGGAAGGAGGGCTTTTTGGTTTCGGACTTTGCTTTGGTGTTTGGCTTGCGTTGTATTTTGTTGCTTTTTGCATTCACATTTCAAACCTCAACGTTGCATTACACTTTCAACCATGCACCGTGCTCTACACACTGATTTTGCTGATTACTACAGAAACACTTCTATTTTCTTTAATTGTTTTCATTTCATTATTCTGTTTTGTCTTATTATTTGTAGTTAAATAAACATTATTTTTGAGCTTATAATTTGGTTTGCGTGTGTCCCTTGTTTTTGTTGCTTCCCTTGAGCCAAGGGTCGTAACACTAGATTGTTAATAAATTTTTTCAGTAGTTCTCTGGGAAGTATTAAAAAATAGTAGTTATCGATTACTTAATAGTGAACTACCACTTTCGTCTGTGCGCTATTACTTACTAGTTCGTTAATCAGAGTTTCTTGTTAGTTAATAATAGTTACTAGATTGTTAATATTGTGTTACTCATTAGTTCTTGTGTAGTTATTCATTAACGAAGGAACCGTATTCTAAAGTGTTACCAAACTCTCATTTGGACCTTGAGCCGTTTGGACCCCATTGACGTCCATTATATGGAGAAAATCCTGGAATGTTTTCATCAAAAACCTTAATTTCATTTCGACTGAAGAAAGAAAGACATGGACATCTTGGATGACATGGAGGTAAGTAAATTGTCAGCAAAAGTTTTTAACAACACCTTTAATTGTTTGCTTATTTACTGATATACATCTATTTTCTTTATCATTTAGACCTAAATAAATATTTTGTTCAGACTCCCTTTCTATTGTTACTTCCTCGAGCCGGGATGTAACAGTATATAAATCGAGAGAAATGCATTTTTTGTTTGCTTTCCTCCAAGGACATACCTGAGTTCCCTTAGCTTCTTTTCTTTGATCTCGTCCAGTCGGGCTCTGCGACTGCGCGCCTCCTCTTCCAGCCGTTCCCCCTCTCGAAACATCTCTCTGCGCTGGCTGACGGCCTGCGCTTCTCTCTCCCGTACCTGCTGCCTCACAGCCTCAGCATGCCTTTGGATGTGTTGACGCCGCTGCTCCTCTTTTTCTCGTTCTTTCTCAATGAGATCCTGCTGTGCCCTGGAAAAGGAGTATACAGCATGCAATCTTCAATACCTTTGTCCATTCTCCCCTCCTCCACTTTCATAAGACAAAATGTTCTGTCAGTAAGTACAGTGAATTATTTGACGTGTTTGTGGATTATAGAGGTAGTCGTTTAATTTTCATATTAAAATAATGCTTAATATACTGCATAATAATAAACAATCAAAGCTTAGCGCTGTGAAACATTCTGCTCAAGGCGTGCTTGTAAAAATTGGTTGTGCTCTATGTGATTGATCATTTCGGGCTCGAACTGCCTTTATTGCCTTTATTAACTGTGTTTACGATTTTGGAGTTTGCAATTATGGACCGGACGTTGAGGATTTTGGCCAATCACAATGCACTGGATCAGCTGGCCAATCGGATCACTCTGGGCTTTTCGGAATGAAAATAAATCAGACATTTCATACAGACTGGGAATAGAGGCTATGCAATAGGTGGTTTGCAGTCACGTGATTGTGTTGACGCGCTTAATGCAGATGGAGGGCAAGGAGTGAAGAGCGCAATGGACGAGATGGAGGAAAATCCGTACTGTACTACTTTAGACGCTATTACAAGAGACATATACAAACAGAAAATCGAATCGTGATCCTTACGTTATGAAGAGGACCGATTTTCAACTGAATTGAGAGATTTGCCTGTAGATATCAGCAACTAACTCGTCTTACAGACATACTTTGACTTTACAAAGTTTGGAAACTGGTACGTTACACAAACAGCCACATAAGTGTATTTAAACACCTGAATAATGTAATTATAAGCCACATAAATAATGTATACTCACAATTGACGTATTGCACACACACAGGCATTTTTCTTGGTGTTTTTCTGTCAATTTCTTGTATTTCCCCCCTTATAAACAATAACTTTTGGCACACGATAAAAACTCCTCGTGGTTTGATCGATTTGAGCAATCATAAACCATTTTTTTTTAAATAAAAGCAAGTTAACCTATTCTAGTACACCCAATAAACAAAATAATGAACTTTAAAGACCTTTAAAATGCACAAAATATCCCCTGAACCCCCCTAGTAAGCTCTGTATTTCTAAAGCCTTGTGTACGGCCATGTTTCTAGTATATAATACATATGTGCTGGTGTTTGTACCTCAGGACCCTCTCAAACTCTGCTCTCTCTCGTCCAGCTTCAATGGACAGCAAGTGCTCCTTATGAGTGACTTGCACCAAGCGAGCAGCCTTTAGCTTCTCTTCCTCTTCCAGCTTTTTCTTAGCCTGCTCTTTCTCTTTTCTTCTCCATTCCCTCGCAGCCGCTTCCTGGTTCCTCCGTGCCCTGATCTCATCCTCACAGTTGAGAGAAAAAACTCATTTATTTGAAATCCAGGATGTGAAACGTATTTCGCCATCATGCATGGGTATACATCTCATACAAAGGAATTCAATATTTTTTTTATAAAGACATCCTGTAACATTTTACCTGCTCAGCTTTATGGTCTCTATCCCGTTCTTGAAGAGCTCTCAGTCGCGCCACTTCCTTCTCTTTTTCTTTCTTGATTCGTATCTGCTCAGCTTCAAACTCTGCCTCTCGTTCCTAGAGGTCATTAAACACATGTTCTGGGATTAATGAGGCTAGTCAATGAGGCTTGCTGGGAAAGCCATCTGCAGCTGCTGATGTTGCCATTGCCAGCCCCTTGAAGTTTTTTTGTTTAGCTTGTCTCAGCATTTTCCTATAATTTATCTATCATTGAATGATCCTTCTTTTGTTCACAGAGAAGGAATCAGTCGGTCAGACTTGAAAAGATGTTTTTTCCCCTTGTGGTCCATTTCTAATATTGCGCAAAACCAATGTAATGGCCAGGGTAGCAACGGCCCATCAGACTAGTGACTGGTCTACCCTATCAAAGCTACCAGAATATACTAATGGTTTGGAATCTGAAAAATTGTACTTTTACAAATACATAAAATGGAATCATTTTATTTCACGCTTAGTTGCAGAGAATGGCATTTCCCCCTTACAGACAAATGACAGACTGGAAATGATTAATTTCCAATGAAAAATATTATCGAACACATTCCTGAACACCCAAGTAGCACTTCTAGTAACTCAATTGTGGAAAAAAATATTATGGTCCAGTTGCATGGAGGTCTGACTGACTTCTATCCATAAATATTCTGATTAAATTTGAACTTTTGCAACTAGACCATAATGTTACCACACGGCCAGGTCTTTAAGAAAACAATGAGCACAATAACTACCAGCATTTTTTTTTCAGCGATCAAACACTTTTTCTGTAAAATGGTTGGTTATGTATAAGTATGTGTGTATATACTGTATGTATGTCTTCGTCTAGCATGTGTTTGAGTCATAGCCAATCCTGTACAAGCCCAAATGCCTGTGTAAAGCACTTCACAGTTTATTACTGAGCAAAAAAATCAAATAATTTGGACTAAACCACTCAATTCGCAATGGATTAGTTTTACAAACTTTTTCTGAGAAAGTGGTCAAAGTGTTAGTTGCGTTGACTGCCAATGGAGGGACAAAAAGCTCTCAGATTTCATCAAAAATATCATTTGTGTTTTGAAGATGAACAAAAGTCGTATGGATTTGGAACGACATGAGAATTTTTCAGTGAACTATCCCTTTAAAGTAGTCTTATAAATTATACGGCCAATTCACACTGCGCAGACAGACGGCAGCAGACAGTTCGTCGGCTGTTGTCGGATCAGTACGTTACCCCTGTTGGCACCTATTGGCTTGTAGGGCTTTTTGTCAATAACATGCTGAATCTTGGTTGTCGGGTTGCGTAGGAGAAGTGACATGAGAACTGCGTCTGAGAAGTGGCCTATATGAATGCTTAATTCATCTTATTTATTGTATTTGATTAACAAGGTAAGAACTGCAAGAACAGCCTGCCCCTGATTTTAAAGTTTGATCATTACAGCGGTAGTGAGAAACCCATTAAAAAGACTTTTCTTACCAACTTCTTGGTTGTATACTCTACAGCACGCAGATCTGCTAATCTCTCTTCTTCCTTTCTCTGCTCTTTAGCAAGCAGGTTCTCCTCATTTATCCTCTGAATCTCCCGAAGCAAATTCCTCTGCTCCTCTTTCTTCCTTTCAATGACCTGAGATAACATTACACAAAGAGTGAGTCTGGATGCGAGTTCGGTACTTTTGATTCATATTGATGTAGAGCGTGTACCTTGATCTCCTCCATCTGCATCTTTTCCATGTTTTCCAGCAACTGCTGACCCTCCTGCTCCTTCATCTCATCCTGAAGCATTTTCTCCTCCAGACGCATCTGGATCTGGTCGAGGACGCGCAGCTTCCCGCTTTAATAACACCCAGCCATCAATCAGGGAGCAATACATTGTATTTAGAGTATATAGAATATAGAGCGTAACCATCCTTACTGAATCATCTGCTCTTTGCGCAGTTGTTCGATTTGTTCCTGAGTTTCTAAGGCCCGGCGACGCTCCACCTCCATGATGGCATCCAGCCTTTTCTCCTCCTCCAGCCACTTTGCGCGGTTCTGTTTCTTCTCCTCAATCTGCGCATCCCGGACAACGTGGCACTGCACTTTCTGAATCAACTGCAGGAGTGCAAAGACAACATTAGCATGTAGGAAATAACCAGTTGGCTTGTTAGTGTGATCCTCTCTACCTCATTAAGCTTCTTGACTTCGTCCTCTTGTTCCATTCTCAGGGTGTTGGCTCGTTCCAACAGGTACTGAGCGCGGTCCCTCGCCTCTATCTCGAGCTCACTGAGGCTCTGGTTCTTCTGCCGAGAGAGGTCCGCCTGACGCATCTGTGCTTTTCTCTGCTCTGCTGAATCCTGATATGACAACAACCAGATCAGGGGCGTTTACTCAGGGGCAATGCCTCCTCAAAAATTAGGATGTGAAAAATAAAAGTGTGCGATGGGTTTAGTGGGGGGGTGATTAAAATGATTAATGAAAATATATAGGGCCCTATTTTAACGATCTGAAACGCAAGTGTCCCGGCGCTGTTGCTATTTTCCCACTGTTGCTATAAATGCCTCTTGCGCCTGGCGCAAATCTAAAAGGAGTTGGTTTGAAGTAGCTTCATTATTCATAGGTGTGGTTTGGGCGTAACGTGAAATAAACCAGTCAGAGCGCCATCCAACATACCCTTTAAGATCAGGAGCGCTTGTTGCATGACGGATTGTTATTATAACGGCGGGTTTACCAGAAGCGTTCACAGCCGATGAGACCGACGTTCTTGTCAGGACAGTGAAAGACATAGAGGTGACGTTGTATGGGGATGGGAAAAACCCTCGCACATCAGCGTCGGTTAAACATTATATGCGGATGTTTCTTGCCACCATTGGGCAAACAGGTCTGATCCTTCAGTAATTAGCCTTAAAAAATGGGTTATTAGGTTTTTTCATCTTCATGTAAACCACAATGATTTCCCTCATGTGTTAATAGTTTTTCTTGTTATAATGTATGATTTGCAAAACTAAAAATGGCTGCATCTGTGTTGATGAGAGAATCAAAGTGTATGCGTGTTGTGCACCCGCTACATTATGGCCAAGCACGCATAACAACACGCAACGCGCCACTGACTTTAGACCAGGTTTTTTCTGGTCAGTGGCGCAGTTGTTTTCTGGAAGTGTAAAATAGCACCTGGGAATGTTTGCGCCGAAGCACGCCTCCTTTTTGCGCCGATCCACCCAGGCAGCGCAAGTTCATTCCCTAGTTTACCGACGTGCGTCTGACTGTGGAGGAAAAAAGCCCGCTTTGCGCGCGTGCAAAATAGGAATGAGACATGCGTTTGTGTATAAAGTCATTTGCGCCGGGTGCAAGATAGAGCCCATAGTTTAAATAGTTACTGCCTTTAATTATTATTTTGAAATGAATGTAAAAATTCTAAACCTAGTGAGATTTATATTTGGTTTTAATAATTAGAACAATTACATTGTCAAATTACAAAATAGAATTGTATTTGGTTTCTTTTTTTTTACGTAATGTAGAGTAATGTTTGTTTAACCAGGGAAATGTGACAACATTAAAGCCCCTTTCACACAGCACGTTGATCCCGGGAAATTGCCAGAACGCCTATTGTGTGAACGCAGACACGACCCGGGATTGATACCGGGACTGATATCTGATATGGGACTGATATGGGGACCTAGTAACATCAGAGAATGTCTAATTGAAGAGAATTGGCACTGGCTGGTTACTTCCGGGTTCTGGACTGGCTGCAGTGACAAGTCTCTGTCCATGCGGGGGCGCTCGCGGTCGAGTGCAGAATGAATGGGAGTCAATGGGGTTTCACCCCCATAAATTCACTTTTCTCAGGATGTAATTTGGTAATTTGAAAGTTGCATTCAAAAGGGAGGGCTAAGATAATACACTCAGATGAAAATTGCATTTTTAAGTTCACTTATCTGTTCTAAAAATCCGTTCAAAACTGTGATGATGTCACACAATAGCAGAATGCTAGCGTGTTTTCCGGCCAACAACAGCCTAACTTGTAAGAAATCAAAAGGACATAAGTACTCGTTCATTCAACTTTTGGCCTATAATCTATATTGAACTTGCGGAATCAACAATAAAATCTATGTTAATTTAACGACAAGCAGGTGAAAGAGACACTTTTAGCCGTTTAGCCCCATAGACTCCCATTCATTCTGCTCTCGAATTTTCTGTGTGAAAGGGGCTTAAGTGTAAAGGAAATGAATTTACTGAACTAAATGAATTTACTGAACTGAACTAAGCACGCCACTGAACTAGATTCCTGAAGCATATAACAGGGCTTGGAAGACAACCAAAGAATACTGTGGGGGCCATTAGTTTTCGCATTGAAAAAAAATTAGATGTAGGCAAAGTAATGGGAGAAAATGAGAACATAGTCTATGTTATGCATGAAATGCTGCAAAAGACATGGTCCAATGGTACTAGACATCAGTCTAGCCAAACGCATGATTACCTAGAAAAACAATGTGCAATACAACGAGTTCTTTTTTGAACGGCCCGCTAAAGTGTACAAGGTAAGCTTCATTTCGTTTAGATTAAAAGATGCAGCAGAGCTTTTGATGATACATGATAATATCAAAGGCTGTGCTGCATCTTTTCATCTAAAAGCAATGCGTTTTGTATGTTTGTTTTTTCAGCTGCACACACACAAATCAACGAACCAAAGTTCCATGTAAATTTCATTATCATGAAAACAAATCCCAGAGCACGGTCGAATCGGTACCAATGTGTTATTAGACCAAAGGTTCATTTTGCGACGGAGTTGTCCTTTAAGACAAATTACAAATTGAGAGTTTGATATGGTTGGCTCACTATAGCTTCTTCACAGGCTTGGCGTTGGGCCTCCAGCACAGCTGCTTTCTCCTCTTCACTGGGGACATGAGACTCCACCATAATCCGCCTGAACTGAGCCGAGGACAGGATGACAGACTGTCCAGATGGGTCCTCACTTGGGATTCTGGTTCAACAAAACAAGAGCAAAGAGCAGGCTTAAAGGGGTTATGAACTGCATTTTTTACATCAAAAATGATCATAATTTAGAAATAATTTGAGCGCTCTGTTGGAAGGGGTGTGTCTACTGTGAGACTTCAGTGTAAACGTATTAAGTAAGTATTATACGTGGAAACTCTCGAAAATTTTTACTACATTTTTACAATTACAGCTGTCGAGATGAACTAATTGTGAAAAGTGTTGATTATATCATTATCAGAGATGTATAAAGTACTAGAAACCCGGACTTGAGTAAAAGTACAAGTGCTCTATCAAAAAAGTGACTTGAGTAGAAGTTGAAGTGCTCTTTAAGCACCACACTTAAGTAGAAGTACTAAAGTATTCAACATTTTTTGTACTTAAGTATTGCAAGTAGTTTATTTTAAAATTCACTACTAAAGTACTAAAAGTAAAAGTACAAGTATTGTGTCCTGTAATTATTAAAGAAAGCAGTCAAAAGTTTGAACTAGCAATCAAATAAGGCACTTTAGTGGGATACAAATTTGCTTTGGCGGCCGCCAAAAAAATGTCATTGCAAGAAAACCCCTGAATTACTTGTCAATGTGTGTGTCAATCAATACCATTACCATATAAAACTGGCGTGTGATTTAGGCAGCATGAAAGGCAACTTGCAATGAATGATTCGGAAAATTTTTATAATTGTAACGAGTAACTAGCAGAACATTAAAAAAATAACGAAGTAAAATTATTAAATTCATCGAAAATATCTACTGAAATAAAAGTAGAAGTATGAGAAAAAGATAATACTCTAGTAGAGTACAGATACAGTATTTTAGTACTTAAGTAGTTCTACTTCGTTACTATACATCTCTGATCACTATATTAAGATTTACTCCCGTCGCATGTCAGGTTGCAACGACAAGCATGAAGCCGATGACACACATGAATGCAGAGATCTTGTCAATGCAACTCGATTTCTGCACACTTACGAATGATCATAACCAACAGTGAAAACACAATGTGAATAAAAGATTCATTGTGCAGTGAAGACAGCGTCATTGATTATAATGGACTTTGCACTGACACAACTTGCACTGTTTGATTGGCAGCTGCAGCGATTATTAAGGGAGCGTTCTTTGATCGCTGTCTGTATATAATTGAATCACAGTTTAAATAACAGATTGCTACTAAGAGAAACGATGTGAAGTTGACTGTCTAGTCACTGGCTTGATTTACTGATGCATAAAAGGCAATAAACAAAGTACGTCTGACTGTACATGAATTATTACATTTTAGAAATCACTGATCACAGATTAAGCATTAGAATGAACATGGATACTTACATGTTGTTGCATTACTGTCGGGTTCATATCTTGCAGTAAAAGTCTGTTTGCAAAGCCTGCGCCGAAATTGCGACTGATTTATTGTTCCGAAAAAACAAATAATGCACATTCCTATATAGCATTAGGATCCTTTGGAAGGTATTCTGTATCTATCTGTTCTTCTCATCTCACTAACATGCCAGTGGGCGGGGCCAAAGATGCAATGATGTAGAACATGGTCTTTCGTCGCACTATTGCGTCATAATATGACAAAATCTGAAGCTAGTTGTCTTCAGATCTTGGTTTCAATAAAAGCTGTTTTTGGACTAACAAGGAAGTTTTGAGATCTGAAAGTTACAGGATGGTTTTTATAGTGCAATGACCTTGTATCAAAAGATTAAGGATAATTTGATTTCTCAATTCATGACCCCTTTAAAAATAAAGAAAACACAAATGGCCAATATGGTTCAGGGTTATACTGGTTTTATTCAAGTCAAATCAGGTTACACCAACATTTTGAACAAGTAATGCAAATATCTCAATAAGGATAACTACATGTCTCCACAGAGAAAAAACCTTTTGCTTCTACTTGCCTGAGGTCTCTGATGAGGTCTTTAGTGATGATGCGGACTGTTTCTGGCTCTTTGGTTGCAGGAGCCGAGCGCGACAGTGACCTTGACCTCACGCCTCTGCCTTCAGCATCATCTTTTATATCAGCAGCAGAATGCTGAGAAAGATTTAATAGACTGTTGGATCTACCTTTACTTTTCATTTAATGTCTAAGACCATAAAGTAAGCTTTCTACCTGTTTGGGGGTCCCAAAAAGGGTCTCGTCCACATGAGAGGTGTGGGCCCGTCTGCGATAGCGGCGAGACAAACCGCTGCTGCCCGACAGTTTCCCAGATGATGACCCGGCGCTTTGAGGCTGAAAAGCATTTCAAATTACCTACTTGTGAGTCACAAGTCTCAGGAATCTTTCTGGTTAATTTTTTATTTATTATAAACTGACTCATAACATTCATTCATTATGGAATTGGACTACACTTCCTGCTGAATTCTGAAAAAAGTTAAAAGTTTGGAATAATTTTATTTATTTATTCATTAATTTTCATAGTATCTTCTGCTCACCAAAGCTGCATTAATTTGTTCAAAATTTTTAATTTTATACAAAGTTTAATACAATTTCCAATGTGAATATATTTTAAAATGTAATTTATTCCTGTGATCAAAGCTGAATTTTCAGCATCATTACTCCAGCCTTCAGTGTCACAAGATCCTTCAGAAATCATTCTAACATGATGATTTAGTGCTCAATTTATCCGTTATAATTGGTGCTCAATTATTAATAATGTTTTTATTGCTGTCAAGGTGAAAAAAGTAAAAATAAATAAATACTGATATTTTGGTGGAAAATGAAATACTTTTCAGGGTTCTTTAATATAAAGTATCAAGTTAAAAATAACAGTATTTATTTGAAATATAAATGTAAATGGTTATTACTTTTAATAATCAATAATTAAATTATTCTTTCTATTTTCTATCTCGTTTCCAAAAATAAATGCATAAAAATTAAAAGTTAAGCAGCCAAACTGTTTTCAACGTTGATAATAAAACATGTCTCTTGAGCAGCAAATCAGCATATTAAAATTATTTCTGGAGGACGTATTGTATTTTTCATCAAATAATAATGGTGAGCAAAAGACACTTAAACATTTAAAAAATCCTACTCATTCCAAACTTTTGACAGCCAGAAAAATGAATATTAATCATATTAATGCCCATAATATTGTGTAAGTTATGGTGTGTAAAAGCAACGTTTACTTACCATTTCTATCGAGCTGACGTGAAAAAGCTCATAGGATAGACGTTATGACACAGATACAAACAAGACAAAGTAAAAAAGGCATGCCACTCAATTATTTCTAATTTGTGTTTTTAAAAATGGAGCAAAAATAAAAGAAATAGAGAATAACACCTGTGTTGACCACAGTTAGCCTACCAGAAATAAAACCGACTCCCCACAGTGGTAGTTTGTATTGCGTTTCCATGGAGACCCGGTTACTGCGGTCACGGAAGAGTTCCTGCAAAACCGGAGGCTGTCGTCTCAGGACCACATTACTAGGACCCACTGGTTTTTTTAAATTTATTTATTTATTTTATGAAGACTACTAACAGTTTATACTATGGGTGCTGCACAGTTTTAAAACCTACTTGCAGAGTGTGACGTGACGTCATATTGTGACCGTTGCAAACCGCAAGTGCACCTTCTTCCATCTAATCGGTGTGGTGTAAGGTAGGGAGTTTATTTTGTGATAATTCTTATTTCCTGACGCTGTACAGGCTCTTTTGTTGTACATAACAATGTAAACAGCTCAATAACCATTTTATAGACCCAGTCCATTGCATTAGATTTGCACCCATAATCTCCATAACTCCACAAGGGGTCATCAGCTTTGTTTTGAAAGGTTGGGGCGGCCAGGAGGACAACTGACAAGCATGTGACTGAGCACAGTGAAGTTCTTGAGTTATTGTTCCCTGGAGATGTTGTTTCAATTCAGACAGGGGTTTAATGTGGCAGAATCTTTGGGTCTTGTTAGTGCTAGACTCAAGATAATGTTATTTAGCTACTAAAGGAAAACAGCAGCAGCTTGACTCAGCTGAAATTGAGCCATCGTGGGGACTGGCAGCAGTGCACAACCATGTGGAGAGAGTTAAAGGCCTTTGTGCGAAAATAAATTCACCATTTCGCAATCGCAAGGAACTACCAATAACACTGTGCTACTCAACTCCTGATGGAAGTGTGCTTTGTCCTCTGTAACCTTTGCACTCATGTTTTTCCACAAGAGTGAATACATCTTTGTGTCAAAACCATACATCAAAGTCTAGAATGTTTTTTATGTGACAGTAAGACATATTTTTTATGGGTGATACAGTACACATTCTATTTATTAACTTATTTAATAAAGAAGAACGGCTTTCATTTAGTAGGATATGGAATTGAATAAATCGGATATATTATCAAGATGTAGACAACTACACAGGGCACTCCAAAACCAGCTTTAAGGCAATGCTGTACGCATAAGTTCCGCATTTGACGCAAAAGGATGCTCTTCAGTTTCTGGTTGGGGAGATTAAAGCGGAGGAAAACCGACGAAAACGGGATTATGGCAGAGTCTTCAAAATGTACTGTCCTCCCTTCTTTGAAACAAAACTTTCATAGGCTACGTTTAGATGTAATTTTAAATATGTTTAAAACAATTTTAAAAAGAAGCATAAACACAACAAGGGGTGTCTGTTTTGTCTGTTTTCGTGACTAACGTTTCTTTAGTATCACCACGGAGTATAAAATTCAATATAAATTCTTGCTATTGCATTGGACTCTACGATCGGCGGAAGTTATCGAGAATTCTTACACCTTTACCGGAAATACCGCCTTGGGAACCTCCCCAACAAAAATTACTATGCAAATCAAAGAAAACAACATAAATACTGTGAATCACGCACAGATAACTTCATACAGTCAGTGAGTTAGAGCTGGGTGATATGGAGAACCAAACAAATATTTCTGACCAAACATCAATGACGATATTGAACGGTATTGATATTGAAGGGTATGAAACAAGGAACAGCTGGGGCAACTTAACTAAACACAGGTGAATTGTCAGCTGGATTGAAAGCTGGAAGTACGCATCAGGTATCGCGTAGGGATCACACCCTAACGATGTTGATATTTTTTGAAAGTAGCGTTTCTTTTCATGGCAGTCGAGGTTGCGAAATGTTGTCTTTCGTAGCCATTTCCTTTATTCATACGAAGCTGACAATCATAACAAGCAAGCTAGCTAGCTAATGCTTGTCAGTACCATAGAAAGTACTCAGTAGGTACGCAAAATGGTGGCAGTCAAATGGAAAAAGAGCGGATGGTGCTCGAGTCCCTCTCAAAGCAGGGGCGAGAAAGAAACGGAGGGGTTGCATATGCCTTGTGACATGATCGTCTACACACATAGTGGCATACAAACAGATACTTCTTTGAACATTGGTCCTTGTGTTTGTGATCTCAAACGGCAATGAATAGTAGCCCACTGTTAATGTGTAAGAGATGCTCTTTGATTAGTCTAGTTTGCTGGACCCACCACACCTTTGGATTTGCTGAGGTACTAAGAGAGCACAGCCAGATAAAATATTCTTGAGAAGGAGAGGACACAGGGGTAATAGACCTCCTTTGCCAGCAATAATAACTTTCTTGCAAATTTTTCTTGCATTAAAGCACAGGTCTGTTCTGGATACCGAGAATCGGGCCTTTTGGTGTTTACGGAGACCTGGTTCAGGATCCAGATATTGCCATTTTGCATTTGGTTTTGAAACATTTTGCGGTCCCATAATTTGAAAAATAGCATCCCATTGCTTCGGGTGTGTTTTCACAGTTTGTTTGCGCTTAAATGGGTGAAATATTTTCCAAGTATGGGACACCATATCTAGTTGGCTACCCTTCACGTGAATTAAATTGGGTCTTTGATGGATGTGAAGATAACTTATGTCTTTGTGGTGTGCAAAACATGGATTTACAGAATGTGAATAGTGCTAATGTCTCCAGCTCTCATGGCAAGGTGCCATTCTCCTATTTGCCATTGTTGTAGTGTTTTAATGACAGGAACCCATGTCTCTGGAAGCAGACAGACTGGCTGTAAGCTCTCTTGAGGGATGGCTAATGCCTGGCATCACATTTCAATACATGAGGAGACTGTGTCATACACTCGTGGTGGTTTGGGAGTGATTTTGGAGCCAGACATTTCATTGCCAGAAAATTCACAGATATTTTGCTTATGTGGGTATAGACAAACAGGCCAGACTAATAAGTAAAACATGGGGGCTGAAGGGAGAAATTAATTTGAGAAGAACCTTTCCCCTATATTACAGGACTGTGATACCATTTATCAAATTGAAACGAAGGCGTAAATGACTAAATACTAATTCAAATGTTAACATTAAATTAGGCATACTCTCTGCCTTTTGCAATTACAATATGTAAATTAGATAAAAACATTTTCTTGGAAACAGGAGAACATCAAAATTATTGAATAACCTGACATGCAAGATATTCTGTAAACTGTTGGTGTCTTAAGGACTGTTCCACAACGTAAAAAAAGTTTATAATGTTTTCAATAATGATCCATAAAGCTTAAAATACAGTATGAAAAAAATATATATTTCTAGTTTATATATCATATTTATTTCTATTTTCATTTAAAAACTACACAAGTTGACCAAAGTGCTTTACAGACCCAACTGTACAAAACAAATAGACAAAAACACAACAAAAAAACACTCGATGGAGTCACAGGATCTAAGAGAGAGTATTCCTGCTGCTACCTCGAAAGCACGATCTCCATTGGTTTTTAACCGAACTCTTGGTACATTTAAAGTAAAGCTTTGTGGGGATCTAAGTGGTCTAGCCGCAACCAACGTGCTGCTAACAGACTCGAAATACAGTATATACAGGGGTGAGCTCATGTAGACCTTAAAAAAACATTTAAAGCACCTTGAATTGCACTCTATACTCAACGGGAAGCCAATGCAGAGAAGCCAACACCAGAGAGATGCTGGAACATTTCCTGGCGCCAGTCAACAATCTGACCGCAGCATTCTGCACCAGTTGCAGCCATGAAAGGATAGTCCCAAACAAAGATAATTATAGTAATCCAATCTAGACATGATGAATGCATGAATCAATTTCCATATCTTTAGAAGACAGGAAGCCTTTTAATTTGGCAAAGCCCCTCAACTGAAAAGCTTCCCTCGACCACTGCATTTACTCGTTTATCAAATTTCAGTTCAGAATAAAAAAAAAATCACACCAAGGTTCCTCACCTGAGTGTTAATATTCGATGCCAAAGGGCCCAAGTCGAGAGCAATCTGATTCACTGACTTTGGTGGACCAAGTATCAACACTTTGAACTTAGATTCGTTCAGCTGAAGAAAATTTGATGCCATCCACCACTTTATTTCGTCAAGGCAATCAAGCAGGACAGTGAATATAAATGTAGTACTCAGTATAAATGAGTAAATACGTCTAAAAACAAAGATCTATTTCTAATGATCTCCATTCCAATTCATGGAAAGATGTCAACCCTAATCTCCAACTGTAATCAAACACTCGGAGCAGCTAATAAAGCTCTTCAGCATCGCTTGACGCACATGAATGTGTGCTGAAGCAGGATTGAAATAAACTCTAAAGGACAGTGGGTCCCCAAAAGCAGGGTTGAAGACATTGGTTTTAAAATCCTGATAAAAATGCAGTCTTTGTGCTTCTCAAATATTTTTATTTAGAAAGAATAGAATTGAAATACAATCACAAATGGCAATATATTATTTAATTTTTTTTGCAAAATTCCATATCTGTATTTCTATAATTAACCTGAATGAGTGAACTTTCTTCGCACAACAATAAGAAAGCTGTGTGATTAGCTTGACTTCACAGTTAAAAATAGTTAATACATGGAAATTGATATGCAATTTGTTAATGAATGTGCTGTGTATATAGAATCTGCATGCTTTTACAGTACACTACAAATCAGGTGTTTGCACAGTTAGAGAAGGAGAACCATTGTTTAGCAAATAGCTACAAACCTACAGTAGATTTGTCATTCAATTAAAAGAAATGATTCGAATATAAAACGAAATACATAGCTTCTACAACTCACAGTTGAGTTGTCATCAGTACAATTAAAAACTATAGGTAGGAAATAACTGCTATATTTTTGTGAATCAGGAAACAAGACATTAATTGCTTTTAAAAAGTAAACTTTAAAAGCACTTTTGAGCTGTAGTGCATAATGGCCAATTAAACCCCGAACAGACATTGGAATAGACCTGAGAGTGTTAGAATATCAAAATACAGTACGATGAAAATTGCTTATTAGGTATTGCAGTGCAACTTGTAATACATAAAATGAACACTGCACAGCAATTTAAATTTTAAAGGAGAGAACACAAATAGTGTATTACAAACCTTAAAATAACCTGAATGACTAAATATGTAGCTTAATGCACCAAACTCCAAACTGGATCGATCCATTTTGGGATGAAAACAAATCCAGTGAGGAAAAAAAAAGCACAGATGAACAACATGCAATGCCTCTGCCATGATGCTGAGATATTCTCAAAGATTCTAGCTTTGAAAGATAATAGCTGTCACGTTCAGTGGTCATTTCTCTTTAAAACAGCCATCTAATGAAAATCAACACGGATGGGCTTCGAAATGACTGGAAATATCCATACTTCTATCCTACTTTTTGACACTTATGTTTACATACAGTATAGAACATGTGAATGTCAGAGATTAGGTCAAAAGAGATGGAGAGAGGCTTGTACACATTGCCGTTTTTCTCCCAAAGGTATGTCATGCCGTTCTCCAGGACAGGAGAGTTGCAGTGATCCAGGGACACGTTAAGCCAAGGGTCCTCGATGACATTGACCACTTTCAACACAATGTGCCGCTTATTTAGGTCAAGTGCCACACTCTCCACTTTACCAAAGAACACTAGAAACACACACACAATCAAACAAGATCATTTAGTAAAATTCCCCAAAAATGTATTTCGTTTTTCAGGTTGCACCCCAATATATTGTTAAAGAACATCACCTGTTTTATTGCATATGTCAGGAATCAGGTCCACTAGTGGTTTAAGTCTCTCTTCTGCATGAGAGCCAGGGCTTGGTGTTGATTTGAGACGTTGAGCACAGCAACTCCACAGGGACGTGTTGAAGTAGTAATGCCCACAGCAATGGTGATTTGGTTTGGTGTTATAGAGAATGGCATGGTTTGAGGAAGAACAGCAAATTTGATTGGTTTTATTCTCCAGCAACAGGTTTCCACAGCACTCTGCTTTCCCTTTGTTATTGATAACGTTGTAGAGATGACCCGAGCAGCACTTCATAAACTTTTTGTGGTGGTCATACACATCTGAACCACAACAGAAATTACCATTTGTCTTCAAGTGGCTGAATAGAAAAAAAGTTGGAAAGAAGCGTCATTATATAGGTAGGCAGCACAGATACAAAATGCCCAGGGCGGCAATTTACAAAGTCTATTTGTAAATTGTATATTTATTTTCTTAATGTATACTCCAAAATATTTGTTCTAACATGCAATGAAAGTAAAAAAAAACAAAAAAAAAACGTTGCTTTGAACAGACGCTGTTACTGTTTTTTTGGCACCATTGGGATGAGCGCTAACCGCTAGTATCCAGCTGGGAACGTATTTTAAACCTCTTTTGCTTTTACTGTCGCAAAGAAAAACTAAGCCCAGTGACAGAAGAAAAGTAAAAAATAACCATATTTGTCTTGCTGGTCTGCTAAAAACAAAAGAAAATTACAGGTTTTGTGAAAAATCTTATTTATAAAATTGCTTGTGTTTATGTGAAGTTCTAGGATAATTTGAGCATATTTTCCACTCCTTTGCAAATGTGTGTTAAATGATACAGTATATTTGGTATACTTGACTGCTTTTGTTATTTACATAATGGTATTTAGCCTACATGCTTTTGTAAAAACAAATTTGGAAACACTTTACTTGAAGGGATTTAAGACTGACTTGACACCTTCATAATCATGACTTGACACTTGAAGGAGGTTTCATGCATATTTATGACAACTGTCATTCAGTGTAATTCGCTCAATTATGACATTTTTAATGCAAATATAACATTGTTTGAGATGGCTTGGTAATGACACCTTGACATAAACCAATACATCATAACCTGCAGTGTCTAATACATTATTAAACTGTCAGGTGGTTGGTTTTGACATTGGCTCTCATGAGGCCATTATAACATTTTAATGACAAATTCAATTTGTACAACTAGTTAAAATATTCAAGGTTTCATTCTTTTTTCATTCATTTTATAATTGATATTTAATTATTTATGAAATAATTAGTCAATCTTTTATTCAGTGTTTATTTAACTGATTTACAGTAAGAACATTACAGTTATTTTGTTATTTGAGGTTGTTAGTGGTTTTAAAACTTGTTGGTTTATGATGAGTGGCCTAAATGACTAAGAGACACCTGGTCTCGAGCTGTGCCATTCATTATGTTTTGGCACTTGCCTCTACATGCATTAGTTAGACTTGAATTTCCAGTTAGAGACAAAGACTTGTCAAGATTTATTCTAAGCTATTAGATTTTCAGAGAATCACACAGGTTCAAGCCATTTTTTTTTTACTTATTTGAGCAGGAGTATACATGAAAAAAATGGTGAGTAAGTTTTTACATTGTATAAAGTGTGTTACCCCTGAATAAAAGATCAATACTTTAGACAAATATGTCATACTACAAAAGCTTGACCCCTCATGGTGGACATGTAGTTGAAATCAAGGGTTAAAGTTTGACTGTTCAGCATCTTATACCGTCTAAATATATGGTTCTTTGCCTATTGAAGGTCATTAAACAGTAATTTAATGATGAAATGTGAAGTATTGCAGATGGCCATTGAGAATGTAAATTGCATGACCAGTCGAATGCTATTTATATTTGGTCTCAAAATTATATTATTTACAACATGAGCAAAAAACAAAACAAAAAAAAAAATCAAATCAAATCCTTTGTACTCCTACCTGTGTCCATTACAGCAAATATGTGTTACAGGATTGAAGGTTTTCCCTCCACAACAGTGCTCGCCAAGACGGGCACGAGCAGGCAGGTGGCAGGTAGAGTTGTCTGGAGAATATAGAATGTCTGCGACACACTCGGATTTCTTAGAAACGCCGTGATAAAGGGTTCCATTACAACACAGCGCATTGTCATCGCCCAGACGGTACACTTTTGTCCCACAGCACTGAAGGACACAGGCAAACAGTATATTAATGTATTTTGTGTTCACAGAAATCCCCAATTTATTTGATTGGGATGTTCTAGAATGCTTAATCTAAGTGTTAAAAGGCAATACTACCTTATTAAGTGCTGATGCTCTATACGGTTTCCCTGAGCAACACATTTCTTTCTTGGGATTGTAGGTTTCTGATCCACACTTCAATTCTAGAAAAGAAAGGAATTAGCGAGAGCATGGAATTTAATGCTACAATAATCCTAAAAGTCACTAAAATTACCAGTGATGTCGAGAAAGATTTATTATACAAGTTCATGCCTGAAAATTCTGCTTAGGCAACTATCAAAAGTTATTGAAAACGCAACAGTCTCTCAATCACTGTCTGATCGAGAGAGGGAGATTTGTAAAAAAACAAAAATAGACGACAATGAGGATGCCAAGAACATTACCTGGTTCGGTGGAACTGCTTGTAGAGATATCCAGTAACACATAAACACACAAACACAAGGTGGTGTAAAGTATTTGAGAAAATATTATTCATTTTTGTACTTAAGTATATTTTGCATACTTAATACTTTGTATACTTAATCTATACGAATGTCCTTGTAATTCGGTTCAACCCTGAACTTTATGAAATAACGTTACTATGTTTCGGAAGGTTCGAGTGGTGTTTGTGTGTGTGCGTGTGTGTTAGCAGACTGATCTCATGAAGTAGCGTGTGTATGCCACGCCAATTCGTATTTCCATTTTTGGCGTGCTATCAAGACGCATAATCGCTTTTCAGCGTGTTTATGAACGCCGTTGACTTAACGTTATATAAATATATGACTTACCTCAACCCCGTCCCTAAACCTAACCGTCACTGGGGTTAATGGCATATGACTGTTCCCTTACCCTCCAAGGTAAAAAAAAAAGATATGACTTACCTCAACCCCATCCCTAAACGTAACCGTGACGGGTTAATGGCATTTATGACTGGAGATTTGACTGCGTCTACAGACACGCGGAATGACGCGGACGCAGATACACGCGGATAGCTCAAAATGTGTAGAGATAACACGCCACCTGACTCGAAAGTGGCGTGTATGTTTACGCAAAAGTCATGATGTCATGTTGCAGATAGGAAGAGAGAGAGAATAGAAGCAAGCGGGTTCGTTTCTAAAGCACGCGCAGCGTCATCACGCATCTGTGTTTAAAAACTAAGCTCAGACTCGATTCTGAAATTCTCTGAATCGATCCAGGATTGTTGGGGAGAGAATAAATAACACAATATCACATACATTAAAATTAAACTGTTCTTTTTTGAACGCCAGACCGCGTAGCGTGGCAAGTTGATGCTTGATCTTGCAGACTGCTTCTCTCTCGCGTGTCACGTGACCAGTGTAATCGCAGCTCTTGCCATTACAAAATCGCGTTTCATCATATCGCGATTTTATCGCAAATGCAATTAATCGTTCAGCCCTACCTCAGATGTAAAGTTATTCGCTGTCAAAGTGATGCCAACATGAATGGGAGTCGATGGAATGCTAACAGGCTTGCTAGCCAATGGCAGACTTCAGTTTCCGGCTGGTGGATTACACCCTTGCATTTTTCATGGCACCAAACAATTTCTGCATAGAAGCGATGTTGCCATCAACAGGGCATTGAAGGTACTATGTTTTGTGCGTTTTGCCCTTGCAAAACTGTCTAGCCTGGTTTGAACCAGACCATTCTCAGTTGTAACTGAGTTATGGTCTGGAAAAGCCTCATAGACAAATCATTTTCAGAGGGGCGTCACCAACGGACGTCACGGGAAGACCTAAAACCAATCAGAGCGATGAGGGAGATGACGTATGCAGAGCGGCGGAGAAACATCTCCGAGTGTTGTTCTTTGCTCGGCTTTTAACAAAAAGGAAACGTTCAAATCGCTTAAAACAGACGCGATAGGTGATCCGAACAAGTGATGTTCAACGGCGGCATCCATCTTTGTAATGTAGGCTACAAAATCTGCTTCAAAATCCCAGCGCTGTCGTCATCATGTAAAGCCCGCCCCAACGTTTCTGATTGGTGCCGTGATTTCTGCGGATTGGAATTGTGCTTGAATTAGCTCTTTGCCAGACTAACTTTCAGAACAAATCTAAATTTGCCGGAAGTTGTCTGGGTTTTCCCTGGCTACTTGCTTGACCAAACAAGGCTACTTAAAGGGTTAGTTCACCCAAAAATGAAAATTAAGTCATTAATTACTCACCCCCATGCTGTACCAACCCCGTAAGACCTTCGTTCATCTTCGGAGCACAAATGAAGATATTTTTTATTAAATTTGCGAGCCGAATCACTACCACATAGGCTCCTAAGGGAATGACACTTGACGGCCCAGAAAGTCAATGAAGAAAATGTTTAAATATTCCATGTGACTACAGTGGCTCAACTAAAAGTTTATCAAGCGACGAGAATACTTTTTGTGCGAAAAAACTAACAAAAATAACGACTTTATTCGACTATTCCTTTTCTTCCTTGTTGGCCTGAAACGAGACTTCAAGAGATTTCCACGACGCATGCGCGAGAACTGAACTGAAGTAGTTGAAGGAGATCGCAATTCTCGCGCATGCGTCGTGGAAATCTATTGAAGTCTCGTTTCAGGCCAATGTGGTAGGAGCCTATGTGGTAGTGATTCGGCTCTCAAATTTAGTAAAAAATATCTTCCATTTGTGCTCCAAAGACGAACGAAGGTCTTACGGGGTTGGTACAGCATGGGGGTGAGTAATTAATGACTTAATTTTCATTTTTGGGTGAACTAACCCTTTAACACGAATGCAGGTGAATCAGCTTGTTGTTACTGAATTGCAGATGTTTCAGAAATTAGATGAGAACATGACAGCAGTCAAGCACGTCAAGCGCAAGTAGGCTTAGCCTATTTTATTTCACTTTATTTAAAGGGGTCATGAACTGGCTTTTTAAATTTTATTATATTGTTGTCTGAGGTGAAATTATGACGTTCGCTTGGTTTTTGCATTCAAAAACCTCAAAATGAACAAGTAATAGGCTATTTTCTACCCTAGTTTTCAGCCCAGCTCAGAAACAATCGATTTTTAATGGGCGTCTCGCACTGAAGACCTGGAAGTAAACGCCCACTGCTGTGAGTGGATAACAGTTTTGAATTATAATGAGTTTGAACTCACCTCGTCGGTAAACTGTTTTGAAAACTCCAATGTTGTAAATGGCAACCGGAATGATTCGCCCATACATGTTCGACCCAGAGTCCGTGTGTTGCACCATTCCTGTCAGATCCAATATAGATGGCACTGTTTTTTTACTCTTAATCGGTCTGCAAATCCAGTCTTGTTTACAATCCTCAGTGAAATGACGGTTTTACCTCATCAGCTGGAACGTCATTAAAAATAAAGTTTTGTATTCCTATTGGAATCCAGAGGAAGCGTATGCAGCGACTGTCTTCTTCCACAAACCAGACTGATCTCATGAAGTAGCGTGTGTATGACACGCCAATTCGTATTTCCATTTTTGGCGTGCTATCAAGACGCATAATCGCCTTTCAGCGTGTTTATGAACGCCGTTGACTTAACGTTATATAAATATATGACTTACCTCAACCCCGTCCCTAAACCTAACCGTCACTGGGGTTAATGGCATTTATGACTGTTCCCTTACCATCCTAGGTAAAAAAAAAGATATGACTTACCTCAACCCCATCCCTAAACGTAACCATCACGGGTTAATGGCATTTATGACTGGAGATTTGACTGCGTGTTCAGACACGCGGAATGACGCGGACTTTAATGGCGTAGACATATATGCATACACGCACAAACAGGCACTGCACAATATTTTGTATTCCTCGGTAGCTCGATCTGGTTTGTCATCACGAGGTAGGCTGTTATTTACCTATGCGTGTAATGCGTGAATCGGTGGGCGGGGCTAACGGCCGTGTTGAAGTAGGAGCTGAGGTAGGAGTTGATCTTCTTCTGCGGGGGTGGTGTTTTAACCCCTTTGACGTCACAGTTCCCTACTTTTAAAAACGAGTCGTTTGCGGGGCTGGTGTCAATAAAAGCTTTTATTGGACTAACAAGGACGTTTTCAGTTCTGAAACTTAAAGGATATTCTTATAATATGTCAATATGACCTCTTAGATGTCAAAAGCTCAAGGAAAATTTGATTTCTCAGTTCATCACCCCTTTAACATTATTTTATTTATCCGTTATATTGAAAAGACCTTCCTGAAGGATATTAGATTTTGAGCACTTAACTGTGACTTGAGTGTTTGTAGAGCTTTCGTAGGCTGTTGATCTTGATTTATTGCAATACAGACAGGGTTTCTGATTTTACAGATAGGGTTAAGATTTTGTGAATTTTATTATACATTTTTCCAGTGGTGCAGGATTATTAAAAGTCATTTTTATAGAAACTTCCCTCACAAAGAGTAAAGCTAATAATTCACTAATTAAAAAAAATATCACTGATATTTTCAGGCTTTCCAATGGTTGTGGGAAACCTGAGCATAAACATTTTTAAACTTCGTCAATTTAAACTTTGGGTTGCTTTAATCATTTGTTTTATTACAGTAAAAGGGACACTGTTCAGAATGAAAAGTGCTGAAGTATTCTGATATTTTTGTATTCAAGAGAAGCTTTTACTTTGTGTGGCACAGAAGCACTTCTGAAGTGGCAATTAGGTGTTTACACAGACCGTTTAATGCTCCTCAGAGGTCGCATAAATGCATTTACAACAGAAGTTTCAAAAATATACTTTTATACTCGGGACTAAGGAATAATTTAGTCTTGCTGTTAAGTAGCATTATGTCTTTAGACAGATTTTTGAGCAGAGACGCTGTGTAAAGATGCCATGTAAATAGAGGATTTTTGATCAGGACTGTTTGACTCACCTCAGAGCAGAGCTATGTGAACGATCTATGAGAATAAGATTCAGAATATAAGTCGTCGTTAGGTACAGGGCTGTAAATGAGTGTAAGGAGTTACACTCCACTTCATTATAAAAGAAGTGATTACACATGTGTTGATCTAATGGTTTTAAGATCCAACAATCTTGATAATCTTAACCATGGCAAAACTGAACAGTGCAAAGCGTTCAGGTCGCATCAAGTCTACCTTTGCCCTCGTAGCATGTCATGTCAGCTCTGGTTCGAACGAAAACACTGCCATTACAGCAAATCTCATTTAGGGGATTGAAAGCTTCAGATCCACAGCAGTCAGCCACCAGATGGCTTAATCCCAGAGTTAGGGTATCTGCAACACATTAAAGTACAGGAGAGAAAAAAAAAACATACTACAGTGTTCAGTCTTTGCAATTTCCTTGTAAATCATTACATGCATCACATATGTCATATACAAGGGTTGGACACTGAAACACTGGCTAATGTAGGCTGCGTCTGAAAATGCAAAATGTTGTTTTTGGAGGACGCATTCCAAGGTAGGAAAGCATCAAGGCATGTCCAAAACCAACGTTAGCTGCACTACCTGACTGTAGAAAAGCTTTATTGAGAGTTAAACCCCAAAAGACATCAGCACCTGATGGATTAAAGGGCAAGGTACTGAGGGAATGTGTAATTGTCAGCTTTTACAGCAGTCTCTGTAATGTTGTCCAGGCCAGGCCTGGATGGAACTTTCCAATATCATAACCATTACCTCATTCCCAAAAAATGCCACACGCTAAGGAGCTTGATGATTATAGACCAGTGGTTTTAACGTCTGTGCTCTGTTAGTGTGTGGAGAGAGTCATTCGTCAAGAACTTTCCCTGAAACTGATTGTTAAACTTGATCCTTTGCCATTTGCGTAGGCCGTGGACCCAAAGATCACTCTGCCGGACGAGACTGCAAAACAAATGGATGCGGCAGACTCCCGTGTTAGGATTTTATTTATGGACTTCTCTTCTGCCTTTAATTCGGTGAATATAAACACACTTCTGTGGCGTTTGGAGGAATTGCATGTGCTCAAACTTTGATTTTATGGATCAACAGTTTCTTACTGGACCGTCCACAACATGTGCTGGTTAATGGCAGAAAGTCAGAATGTGGTTTTAAATTCGTGTTTCTATTTATACAAATGAGGCGGTGTAATATGGATAGTTTGATTCTTATAAAATACGCAGAGGACATGATATTGGTGGGATGTGTGAAGGATTCTCAATCATTGGATAATTATTTTAATTTTGAGATTTTTTATACAACGTGGATGGAGGAGAGTTCTTTGCAGCTTAATACTAAATGTGCTGTGGGACTAATAATGCAAGAAATAATACTTTTAAGCCTTTGTCAATTAACGGAGAGCAAGTTGAGCAAGTACAGTAGGATCTTTTAAATATCTAGGTACAGAAATTGACCACAAGTTTACATTTGATAAGCATTATCAACATCTAGCCTTATTGAGGAAACTGAGGAGTTTTGATATTAAAAAGCGCATTCTGATATTGTGATGTTGTATATAAATCACTTATTGAATCTGTGTTCACTTTTAATATTGTATCTTGGTTCAACTCTCTCTCTGTTAAATGTAAAAGCAGACTTTTAAGGATTGTAAATTTGCCAGGTAAAGTAATTGGGGAGAAACAAGGATCGCTTAGAGATATTTACACAGTGGGAGGAAAAAAGGAAAGCCTCAGTTATTGCGACGGATCTCCTGTATAGTGCATTTCAGTTACTTCCTTCAAGCAGATGGTATAAAGTAGCCTACCTTTGGTAAATAAAAGTCCACATTTAAGACGACGTTTAAGTACTATTGGTATTTTAAATGGGATCTTAAGATTAATGATCTTAAGATTTTTTTTCTTTCTTAAGAACTGTGTAGATCTTAATGTTTTTAATGATGTTTTAAAACTGATGTTTTGTGTTGTTGGGATTTATTCTATAGTCTAGGGGTATATTCTAGGGGTTACACCCCTACTCTTTTTCTGAAGGACATCCTGGGAATTTTAACGACCACAGAGAGCCATGACCTCGGTTCAATGTCTCATCCGAAGTGCGGTGCTCTTTTGACAGCATAGTGTCCCGATCACCACACAGACCACAGGGTGAGCACCCCCTACCGGCCTCTCTAATGCCGCTTTTCCATTACCAGTACCAGCTCAACTCGACCTGGCTCGCCTCGGCTTGACTCAGCTCGCTTTTCGTTCCGTTTTTCATTGCAGACAGTACCGCCACAAATAGAACCCGGTCGTCATAGTGACGCCTTTCATTCCTCGTTGCCCTATCAATCTCTCGCGGGATCCTCTCTTAGGCCACCAAGCAAAGGAAAGTCTGCACCTCCTTGTTTGACCACGGCGTATTCTTCCGAGTTGCCATAATAATAGTAGTTATTAGTAACTATCTCCGGCCAAACTATTTAAAAATAGTGAGGTTATTCAGGATACTCCATCTGGCGCGTGCAATGATGATGCAGTGAATGCTGACGATTCTCTCTGACCAATCAGCAGTCAGCATTGTTTTCACGTGACATTTTAGGATCGCCTTAGCTCGCTCAGAACCTCGCAGGAGGTGGTGCAAAAAAAGTACCCGAAAGCAGGAACAGGTACAACTTTTACACAGTGGAAAACCAAACAAAGGCGAGCCGAGTCGAGTCGAGCTGGTACTGTGTAGTGGAAAAGCGCCATGACACCTCTTCCAGCAGCAACCTGGTTTTCTCAGGAGGTCTCCCATCCAGGTACTAATCAGGCTCAATCCTGCTTATAGCTTCAGTGGGCAATCAGTCTTGGGCTACAGGGTGATATATGGCTACTGGCATACTTCTATGAAGGGCGAACCACATCCAACAAGAGTGAGTAACTGTCGACGAAAGAGGAAGCTGTCAAACAGGGGCAATGCCGGATTGTATCCAAAAAAGACAACAACCCCAAAACCACAGCTTTCCAATTCAATGCAGAATTAAACTCTCAGCTCGCCTTTTCTGTTACCACAAAAACTGTTCGTCATGAGATTCACAGGGTCTGTAATCGTGGTCAGGCTGTCAGAGCCAAACCTTTGGTCACTCGTGCCAACGCAAAATGTTTCCTTTGATCCAACAGAACAAATCTTGGGCTGTCGACAAAGTGAAACATGTACTGTTCCCTGATGAGTCCCACATCCTAGAGAGTTACGGTGAGGAGAATCCTCAAAGAAGCTAAACATCTGGCCAGAGTGAAGCCCTGCGGTGGATCAGTGATGGTTTGTGCTGGAATATCATGCAAGTCCCTACAGTTCTTGATGGGGGTCACTGCCAAGAACTACTGAACCATTCTGGAGGACCATGTTACATGAAAGTGAAGCTGAACATCTCCCATGGCCTGCACAGTCAACAGATCTTAATATTATTGAGCAACTTGGGAGTGAGCAAGTCATATCCTCCAGCAGAATAACACAGTGATCTGGACACTGTTCTACAAGATGAATGGCTCAAAATCCTTCCGGCGGCTGTGAAGTACTTATATCTTTCCTATCGGATCTCATTGCTTACTTCCTATTTTTGAATCACATTTTCCTGTGACTCAGCAGCCACAACATGAGAGTTTCAGGATTCTTTCCTACCGTTACAGCAGGAATGTCCTGAGCTGATGTGAGACTCATTTCCACATCGCAACGGGGTGCTGCTTTCCATTGGCCCACTGGAACCTGTGTTACCGCTGACATTATAAACAGGACAAATCAGTCTGATTTGATCTTTACCAAAACATTCTGTTCATTTACACTTAGGTGATTTATGTTCAAATAATTGTAAAATAAATAAATTATAATAAATCTTTCTAAAAATATGTTCAGCTCTTTATTCTTAATGGTCCGTGTAAGGTCACTTACTGGCTTCCCGTGTCAGGAATTCCTGAGGAACAAAGAGATAATTCATTGTAAAAATTGAGTGATTTTTAATGTGAAATGTACTTTTAAGTGTAAGTGCAAGTGCAAGTTCCTGTCTTATTTTGAAAAAATAAACACTGTAATCTGTGTAATCTTAAATCAAAATGCAGTAACTTGATATGCCTATTTTTTTCTGATTTCATCATAATGGCATGAACAAGCGAAGGAGAAGGGAGATCCCTCTATTATGGTGTGCAACACACACTTTCCAAAATATCTGGCAGAAAAACAATAACCTCTCCCTACACTTTTAGTGACAAAAAAGCATTGTGAACAGAATTTCATGATTTCCTTTAATAAAAATTTAGATTCTGTCATAATTTACTCAGCCTCATGTTGTTACAAACCCAGGTTTCTTTCATCTTTCAAAAGAAAAATATCACAATGTTATTTTTCTTCTTCTTATTATTATTTTTTTTCATTCAAAAAATCCCCAGAGAGGTCCAAAACTACTGACTTTCATTGAATAGACTTCTTTTGTTTTCCACAGAAGGATGTCAAACAGGTTTGTAATGATTTTATGCGAGTACATGATAAAGTGATACATTTTAAAAATGCAGTATTTAATTTTTTAGGTGAACTATCCCTTTAACCTATATGAGACACTGAATTTTCTTGCAAAAGTTCATTCTTTTATTAATGGGAATCATGTGTGGTTGAATGTGGGGTCTGATTTTCTTCTTTTATGTGAATTTTTTAAGCAGCAGTTTCCACGTATTAATGAAATTCTTGTACTCTCAGTCACCTTATGCCCTACTGACAGGCCAATTAAAACACTGCTTTGACAGGCGTCAACCAACAGCAACAGACACATTTGTTGCTTTTTGTTGGAACATCACATGTTTTCACAGAATGATTCAGCATTTTGCTGGTCTTGGAATATCTTGTGTAATCTGACGACTGCGAGAGCAGTGTAAATTGGCGCCTAAGGGATAGTTTTCCCATCACATAATTTACGAGTTCGCTCAAGTTTTTCCAAACCTGTACAGGCTTCTCTTTTTCTGTTGAACACAAAATAAGACATTTTTAAAAATGTTGGTAACAGTTAACAGTAGCCACTGACTTCCATAGTAGGAAGAGAATTACTATGAAAGTCAATTGTATGGTTACCAACATTCTTCAAAATATCTTCCTTTGTGCTCAACAGAAGAAAGAAACTCATACAGGTTTGGGACAGTTTGAGGGTGTGAAAATGATGACAAAATTAATACTTAAAGTAGTCTATATATAATATTTATTTCTGAAAACAGAATGAGAGCCTATTCGCCTTATTCACGGCAGCGCCATCTTTGATTTTTAATGAGAATGAAAGCGAGGCTGTGAGGGATAGACTTGCATCTCTTCAATGGGCTGTACTGTTATTTAATGTGTTTTTGGATTGTTCTGCTCATGAAACACTGGAAAAATATCTTTCCAAGAAATGTCAGTTGACTAAAAACTCCCGACAATGTAAGCTGTGGAAAATTGTAAGTAATCTAGCCGCTTTATTCAGCTTTTTACAGCGGATGCCATTGGAAGCACGGTAAGTCTATCCCTCACAGCCTCACTCTCATACCTGTCATGGCGCTGCTCTGAATAAGGTCTATCTATGCTCTGCATTCAACAAAGCATACAAATACATGTCAATACAAAAAGCAAAACAGCGGAATTTATCACACAATCTAATCCAACAGCTTGGAAGCGGCACAGAAATACAGTAAACAGGTTTTCGCGTTATTAGAAAAAGAGGTCGGTGAACGAGAGAATAAACGCGCGTTTTTTTTAAAGTTGAACTTCTTGAACTCGTTGGACTCTTGAACTCTTTTAGAACGCCGTGTCGCGCTGCAAAATACGCCAAAACGCGCGTTTTTCAAAGATAAACAACGACACAGTAGCGCAGTGGAATAAGAAGACGCGTTCTGTGTAAATGGTCCCAAATCATGCCAAGACTAATCAACTGCCACAAACATAATGTCCCTGGAAGCCCAGTTAACCCGTATCCAGTCTCGGTGGGTTTGTAACAGTTTCTAACTTTTCCTTGCACTGGCTGTCTGTATTTGCTAAACTCCCAGATATGAAATCAGCTTTCCAAATGCTACTTCGAGCGCGCTCCACCAGCAGCATTTTCTCTCATACAGAGCATCAAAACGTCCCGCCTCCATTCTCGAGAAAAAAAACAAAACAAACCCTGACATACTAAATTGTAGCTAATCAATCTCCACATGCGTGGTTGCACATATAAATCCTTAACAAGGCAGTGCTTTATATGAACCACTAATATTGAAATGACTCAATTGTCATTTAAATATAAAAAATAATTTATACAATTTTTAAAATTTACAAAAAATAAATAATAGTAGCCTAAATGCATGCATGCCTAAAATTAAATTTTAGTGTTTACTTACCTTGTGCAGATAATGTGCCAATAATGCACAAGATTGTCACACCTGCAATAAAAATTAAAATAATATTTAAAAATAATATTTACACAAAACAAATCTATAAGGCAACTCAAAACTTTAAAAATGTGCTATCATACATGCAGTTGATGTGTAGACCTCCATGTTCAATCCCTGCACAATAAAGATTGAATATCCAAAGAAGATGCGATGATTATTTATTGACTCTAAAATAAACTTTAGCCCCGCCCCCTTCAGAGTGAAACGAGGATTGTGATACACAGCGGAAGTTACATGTATGGACATTATAGCCTACAGTAGACCCATTCATTTCATTCGTCTGACGTTTGGCACCAGTTGCATCATTGCACGTGATTTTGATTAGTGAACTAAACAGTTACTTAGATACTTTCTGATCTCTGAAGAGTTTCTACTAGTGCTAGTTGTTTTGGATAGGGTTGTTGTACTGAGTCTGACATGCATCATTTGGGCATTGTTTGATATCATTACATTATCAGCCAGTTCTTTAGCCCTGTTCCCGGATTCGTGGGGATCATGTTTCACTAAAGCATTTAAATTTAGTTCAGCGGGAGTGAGTTTGTTTGTTTTTTTTTTAACTGCAAAAATGTTCTCCACTTGTACAAAGTGTTGACACAAGATAAAGACGTGTGCACACAATATACAGACATAGTCATGATGATGACAGCATTGTAAAAATGATCTCATAAACTGTTTAATAGACCAAAATGGTTTTTGATAACTTTGTCAGCATGGTCTAGATTAGAGCTTATTTGTGGAAAGTTCAGGTCTGAGAAACAGCAAAGTTAATAATTAATTAATAATTTTTAATTATTAATATTAGAATGGACATAGTTTTACTATTGTTCATGCTTTAAGCTGGGATGCAGAATACATTATTTTTTATTATGTAGAGTTATTAGCTTAAATGTGAAGTTGCTTATATAGTGCCACCTTGTGGCTGATTTTGACCAAACAAACCAGAAATCGCAGATTTCCCTACTACATAAACACAGTATGTGACGACAAGAGTATGTCCAAATTCACAGAACTCATTAAAGTGTTGGCAAAAAGTACCCGGATGACCTATTTCTTCCAGCGAGATTCTTAAGTGTGCCTCTTGGACACTTTGCAATCCTGTGAGGCCACGGGAGATGATTTGTGAATGGTAGAAAAGCGACACAACTGACGCTGGTAGTGATAGAACCATAGACATAAGACCGTTCGACTTTAAAGGTCCCGTTCTTCGTGATCCCATGATTCAAACTTTAGTTAGTGTAATGTTGTTGTTAGAGTAAATAATATCTGTAAAATTATAAAGCCTACATCGAACGGCCCGTTTGGACTACATCCCTCTACTTCCTTCTTTAATGACGTCAGTAGAACAGTTTTTTGACTAACGTCTGCCCACAGGAATGCTCCCTCAACTCCCTCAACTTGCGCACTTCCTTACGGTTTACTCAGCTCTTACGGTGATTTTCTGAAGTAAAACTGACGCTTCATTTTTGTGTGATGTACAATAAACTTTATTAAACTCATCAGTATATGTTTGATCATCATTCGGACCTGGTCCGAAACAGCAGACTTGTAGTTTTAATAAATAATGGATACATACAAGCAGATGACAAATACGTTATAATAACCGTAATTAAACTACTAAACTATACCTGTTCCTCTATACAGCACTCTGACTCTGTAGGCATTATTGTCCGACTCCGGGAGAGTTTCTGATATTATTATCATCATTCCCTGAGATGAAATTTTCCTGACAGACTGAGCGCGAGCTCATGAAGCTCCGCCCCCTGTGCCGGCAGCAGCAGCTCATTTGCATTTAAAGGGAACACACTAAAACAGCGCGTTTTTCTGAGCCCAAAAAATGAAAAATTTAAAAATAAGAAAATGATGCTGTAAAAAATGATCTGTTGGGTATTTTGAGCTGAAACTTCACAAACACATTTTGGGGACATCAGAAACTTATTTCTTGTGAAATGGGGCATAATACGGAACCTTTAACCGTCACATACCGATCTGTTTATCAAAGTACCGCGAGACGAGAGCGATTCAAAAGCTCAGGGCTGTATATTTTAGTAGGGACACCAGAGACATGTCACCATTATCCAGTGATACTGATTTAGTCATGTAATGTGGCAAAGTTGCTCCGAAAGATGCGGTGAGCTAGGGAGTAATTTACAGTTCAGTCATTTTCATTTTTGGGTGACCGATGCAGACAAGTGCTTGGCTTCTTCAAAAATCAAGGAACAAAGTAAAGCTTAAATGTGGTTAAAGACAGAAAATACTTTTTCCACAATTAGAAAACTTTATTTCATTTAATGTGAAAATTAAATTTTATCTGAGTATGGGGTCTTCACAATTCTTATCCAAGAATAAAAAGGCAAATACATGACAAGTCTGAGCTTTGACAATTCCATAAAAAAAAAAAACTTAAAAAAAAAAAAATCAAGATTATAAATAACTAGAGATGGAACTTTTTGTACACCACTGAAATCGGTTGATTAACATAAAGGTATTTTTGCTTTTATCCAGAAAAACACAGCTCACCCATTTACTTGCATTTGTTTACAGCACAGTCTTGCCCTCAACAAAATGGCGGACGCGTTGATATATTGCAGTAATGTTCCAAAACGGCCAATAGGGCGCCTGTGTTATTATTATGTCTATGATAATAACAACATGGTTAATGTAGTACGTCCAGATTACATTTATAATACACACATTTATACTATATAGAACACAGTCTTTAGCAGTTGCGAAGTAATTACGTATTCAAAATAATCAAGAAAGTAGGCCTATACGATTTTGTGTTCATATAGTTCTACTTTTGTAACGGTAAGCAATTCAGATTTGATGTTATTAGCCACTTAAATTTAATTGGCTGCTGGCGGCCATGTTTTTTTATGTATCCAACGCTGCGTCCAAAATCAAATACTGCCTTATAGTATGCGAAAAACTGATTCGATGTACACTTTAGTATCCCATGAAGCCACGGGAGAGGATTTATGAATGGAGGTGATGCAACTGGTTGGTCCCATGACAATGACAACATGGTGGATGTAGTACGTCTGAATTTAATTTATACTACACTTATTCATACTATACTGAACAACATTTTTTAACGGTCTTGAAGTAAATTCAAATTTCAATGTACCATATTAGAGGATACGTTAGGACGTCTAACAGAAAAGATGCATACCAATTTTCAACTTCAGGAATCATACGGCTGCAGAGTTATAAAGGGTTTTTTTGTTGGAGAAATTTAAGGAAAATTCTAAATTGCAGACATTTTATTGGTGGAAATTCAATCGGAGATATTGTTTATATACAAGTTTTCTGGTATATAGCCTACAAGTATTTTGTTTGTTGCACTTCAAAGTTATGATCCAAAATGTAAATTGCCTTATTATAGCGCCACCTAGTGTTATACGTGTTTGCAGCAGAATGTTGAACCTTCCAGATTCTTCTAAATCCTCAAATGTTTTATTCATCTGTATGTCAACGATTAGGCCTTGTTACGATTGTTATGACACCCAAATTTTATTGCTCGCGCTTGATATTATAATTGTCAATCCTCTCCCTTGGATTGGGGATTCCCTCTCTCAACAGCACCTATAGACTCACCTGTGTTATCAGCACTCACTTCATCATGAAATATTTCATGGTTTCTGTTGACCTTCTATTTGAACCCTGTAGAAGCTTCACATTTTTTGTTGCTAAAAGTCAGGTAACTGTAGGGTTGGGTATCGTTTGAATTTGAACGATTCTGATTCCGATTCCGATTCCTTGTTTCGATTCCGGTTCCTAACGATTCTCGATTCTGATTCTTTTAAGAGGCAGGGTCAAAAAAGTTTAGCTAACCTTGCTAACCAACGGTCTTTCTGAAGGAAATAATCCTTTCTGAAGGAAATACTCCTTTTGTCACAAATTTTGCATTTTGCCGAGATTTCGTTATTTTTAGAAAAGTGAAGCCACACTTAGGACCACCAACGTCTACCGGAAGTGTTGGCATAACCGCACGACTCGCGCGGTTATGCCAACACTTCCGGTAGACGCTTCTTCGTTGGTGGTGTTCAGCGGTTTCTTCTTCCGCTCGGCGGACTGTGAATATCGAAACTAGGAATCGAAATTTTAACTTTTGAACGATTCCGGGAAAAACGAAAAGTTAGTCCCGGTTCCAATCGATACTCGATTCTCGATACCCAACCCTAGGTAACTGACAGCTTTCTCAAACCCATCCTTTCTGCACAGGGAGAATAACTTTTTTCACTCTGTTAATACTCAAGTCACAACCGCATTTTCAGCGAAATAAACAGTGTGAACAGACTATGCTAAAATCATAGGAATATAGGCTATACTTTCATATACTTTTCAGGGTTCAATAATGCCCAATGGCTCGGGGCCAGCGTGGGGCCACCTAGGATGCTCAGTTGACATAATGATCATTTTGATCTAAAAAAAAAAGGATTATTTGCACATGTTTTAGACTTGTCAGTGTAAACAAGTACAAGAAGACATGCTTTGAAGATTATTTAGCCATATCTGATTGTTGGTTGGGGCGTCTGATTGTTTTTTTTAACTTTATCACATGCATAAACTGGACATAAATGTTTGTAAACTGTTCAGATGATATAAATTAGATTATTGAAATGCTGTAAATCAAATCAAATTCATATTTCTTTAAAGGAACACTCCGACTTTTTGGGACTTTAGCCTATTCACCTTACCCCCCAGAGTTAGATAAGTCCATACATACCTTTTTCATCTCCGTGCGTGCTATAAGTCTGTTTGACGCACCCACCGCTAGCCTAGCTTAGCACAAAGACTCGATGTGACTGGTTGCAGCTTTCATACTGATCCAAATGAGTGGCAAAATAACGCAAACGTTTTCCTATTTACATGTTGTGATTTGTATAGTCACATAATGTACAAATAACAAAGTCAAATGAGACACAGACATCTTTTAACCGTATAAAACCTGGGAACTATTCTCTGAAGGCGAAGCACTGCTACTTTGA